CTCCTAAAAATTCTCCTCCCCCCCCCCCCCCCCCCCCCCCCCCCCACCCCCATTTTGTGCCGGGCCCCTTTCCCTTTTTCCCCTCCAAATTCTCCCCCCCCCCCCCTAACAAAAAAAAAGAAACATAATGTTTTAACCTCCAAAGTGGCTGCCTTCTTATCCAGCAGCAGACCAAGAATAAGGCCATTGTTTTGCAGGCTTGCTTTAACCGTGTAAGATTTAATTTCTCTCTCTTTCTCTCTCTCTCTCTTTTTTTTTTCATCTACTCCTGTTTTTTTTCTTTTTTTTCCAGTTGACTGTTGGTTTAGCCGATCTACTGTAGATGTTTAGCATACTCTACTGTCCTTGCTTCAAACTAATCCATTTTATATTCCAGATGTATTGGATTGTGTGTTATGCATGACAAATGTTCTTGAAACGCCCACTCTGTAATGTCACGGAAATCTGTCCTCATGCAAGGTCGCGTGGACCTCTAAACCATCAAGAGTATGGTACAAGATATAGGAAATGTACACTGATCACCCGCCGTGATAATCGCTAAATTGGTTTTTATTTACATGTAAGCTACAACTCTCGTCACAAAATTTGAAAATCATTTTTGCGTGCTTTTTAGTTCTTTTCGTTGGTTTGTTGGAAACAGCACGAAAACGAAAAAGAGAGAGGAGCTCAATTACTTGATAACATCGCATACACGGATATCATGTTGTCAAAACTCAATTCAGGCTTAAAGTTTGGAACTCGATAGCGCTCCCTTTATGACTGTCTCTTATTCCTCTTTGGTGGTTTCCTGGTGAGCGAGCTAAAGAAGTTGCGAAAACCGCGTAACTGCAGGCATTGGAACAAGGTCAATGGAAAAATATATAAAACTGGTTTTAAAGGCAATCGTAAAGAAATTCATGCCATGTTCACATAACCCCGTTTCGCCCCGTTTTTATTTTTTTTAAAAAAAGAATATTTTTTCTCCGGATCAGCCTTCCTTCCAAGTGTATCCGGTGAAATGGTCACCGAAGACAACGGCTTTTCGAAAACACTCTCCAGATCTGAATTTTTTGCAAACATTGTTTGAACGGATCGACAAAACGGCAGCCTCATTCCCCTGTAGCCAGAAGGAAAAGACCCTGGGAACGAGTATGAGAAGACCGTGGGAACGAGGTTGTCAGAAAAAAAGAAAATTTGGAAAATTTCACTGCAGGGCTACTCTCATTGTCGGTCTCGAAAATCGAAGAAGAAAACAGAGGTCAAGAAGAAAAACCTTAGAGGCTCTGCGTTAGACTTGGTTGTAATTTGGGGATAAGTTCTCGGAAGAAAAAAAAAATGTTTCAAACAGACACGGGTACGTGTAGACGGAAGAAAATGGCTCGCAAACTTTTCGGATCGGTTATCATAAACGAAGTCTATCTAAGACGGCGGTTTAAGAAATCATTGGACCTCCAGATCTCCCCCCTACTGGGTTAATTTATGAAAATAATTGCTTTTCAATTGTAGTCTACACTATGTGCTTTATTGAAACTGTTCACGATAAAGAATGTATAGATAAGAGCGTTGAGCAAACTGAACATGACTTAGAAAGCGCGGGTTTTGCTAAAAACTGGTTAAACTCCGTGGAAATCATCCGCGCTTGATGTTTCTGCAAAACTCCGCAATGTTCGATTAAACCCAAATGTGATTTTATTAGGTCGTTATGGAAGACTTAAGAATTAGAAAAGCATCATCATCAAATACAACTGGGAGGCAACTGGCCGTGGCCGGAAAACATTGTACAGAACTACAGATGTACCAGGATCTCTCTCTTGACGAGAGTCAAAAGTGTAGGATTCAAAACCGTATCTTATCTGGACCTAATTCGTGATAACAATCCACTGTTTATACGAAGCCGGAACCCGCACAATTTGTTAATTTTGCCATTTCTGTGACCTTTGCCGCAACGTTGAAGTCACTTCTACTAACGCACGCATATATGTCTGGTTTAAACATTGTTATTTCTGGTATTGGCCCCGGCATAGGAATAGTTCAGGACTGTTGGCTCCGTTTCTTGGGCACTTTTCCAGATGCCATGAAACATCCCAGCGGTCTTTCGAGTTATCACTCGCCAGACATGGAACTGAGTGGCTTTGCTCACAAAATTCGTACTTTACAATATACTTTGGTCACATTCTCTCTCAGTAGTCGCAGAATTCTATCATGCCATTCCCTGTACAGATCGAGTGTCTGTGCCATTTTGAAGCAACCACATGGGATACATGAGCTACGGTTTCCTAATTCGAATATATACATTTATCATAATCATCATCATCATTATCATCATCCTCATCGTCGTCGTCGTCGTGATTGTTGCTATTCATTATTATTTATTATTTTTTTGTAATCCCTTGTAGCGCGTCATACCACCTCCATACTATTCTTACTATCTTGTTTTTCAATGCCGCCTTCGGATTTTTCATCTGCTGTAAAACATGCGTTTCCTTCAGTGTTTCCTT